TGAGGCTGGATTTTAAGAAGGGGATTTTATACTGGATGTGGACATTTATTTTTGTCTTAAGTCTAGTTTCCATTCTTTTATCTTGTCAAAGGAGTCCCTAAGGCTAGTCATTACACCAATAAGTCAACTGAGTGTTCTCTATTATATTTATATGCAATACAAATATAAATTATAAATAATACATTTATATATAAATCTAAATTTAGAAAGAGAGAAAAACAACTTTTACCACTCTTTCTCCATTGGACTCCACAGATAGATTCCAAGGGGCTGACATGGTAAGAAATCTTACCTCTGCCAACTGCATGTAAATATATATAGTATATAATGCAGCCGATTTTTTAAAATATTTATTTATTTATTTTGCAGAAAGAGAATGCGAGTGGGGGAGAGGCAGAGAGAGAGGGAGAAGGAGAATCCCAAGCAGGCTTCATGCTCAGCACGGAGCCCCATGACCGTGAGATCATGACCTGAGCTGAAACTGACTGAGCCACCTGCGCACCCCCACAGTTGATTTAAAGAATCTAGTATGTGGCCATTAATAAGATCTATTAATACCATTTGAAACCAATATGCTTTTTAATCATTTAATGAAAGACACAGAGGTGTATAGAGATGGTATAAGTGATGCAACCCCCATGATCCAAAAGTTTACTCCTGAAATTAGTCTAAAAAAGCAAAGGGCTTCCTTGCACAGGCGGTAAGGATGGTGTATGTTTGGTTTCCCATAAAAACATGAGACACCTCCAGCCACAGGCCCACTAACCTGTGACACCAGGCTCTTGCTCCTGGAATGGAACTTTCTAGCACCAACAAACAGTGAAGATTGAGATGATAAAGGTTCCTGTTGGCTGGTACCTCTCATGACAAACTCCCCTAAGAGCTGACACAGAAGAACTGAGAGATTCAGATTTCTAGTCTATTTCACTGGCCATCGAAATGCACTCCAGTAAGTGCACCCTCTAAACAGTGGAGACTAAAGAGAATGTTCTCACTGGTCACAAAAGCAAGCCCTTAGGACATAGAGCAAGATGAAAGGAAAAATCATATCTAGAATATGTACATTGACAGCTTTATCTAAACTTTCAGTCTTCTCTTGGAGCCACGCTAATTCCTAGGAGAAATGTACCATGTGGTTGGGGACCCTGTGGCATTTTATAGTGTACCTGATTGCACAGAAGTTTTCTGAAAGGTGGTGAGTAGCCTTGTGTCAATCTAACCCTTTCAGTGACCAAGGTGCCCTATCATGGGAGTCTGTAAGTTCAGTGGCAAGCACTCTAACAGATTTTAAATCTCGCCTCCTGTCCACCAGTCTGGCAGCTTTGGCTTCCAAGGTGTCCATCAGCAGTAGCCTTTCCCTCATGTGCACATTCGAAGTCTGTTTGACAAACAACATGAAAGACACAGACAAAAGAAAACAAAGATGATCTCTGGGAGGAAAGGGATCAGTAACTAAAGAGTTGCTAAGCCCAGGGAATGACTTCCACAAATATTTTCTCCTGCTAATCTAAATTTAGAAAGAGAGAAAAATGACTCTCACCCTCTTGCTCCATTGGACTTCCCAGATAGATTCCAGGAGGCTGACATGGTAAGAAATCCTACCTTCTGCCGGCCGTAAGTCAGATGCCCCAGGGTCTCTCCGCTGCAGCTGTGTCCAGAGAAGGCAGTGTCCAGCAAGTTCAAGTATCCTGACAACTATCCCAACTGTCCCAGAGCAAGAATGCCTGTCTCCTTCAAGTGTTCTTCTACCTGGAATAACACATTAACAGGAGATAATAAAATTTAATTGTGTATGTATAGGCAATCCACATAGACATGGAAGTTACAAAGACTGTCAGGCAAAATGAGGTATATATGTCATCCTGAAATAAAGAGAAAGGGATACAGGTCTGGGACTTCAGAGGAAAGTATTAAAAAATAAACACAAGCCCCAATGGTTATCACTTAGACAGAGTTCCTAAATGGCTGCTCAATACATAATCCAATTTCAGTTCAGCGTCCCCCAGAAATGTAGTGTTTAAATATTCAGCCAGAAATTTCTCACTCTGTGTCATTGATTTTGTCACCTGGGTCCTCTCTATCCCCCAAATAAATATGAGGTAATCTGCACGAGAAACCTTGCTTTCCCTTCTAGAAACACTCATCTGAAACAATCTTTTTATTTTGCTAATAACCTTCTTGCCCCCATCATTCTTCTATAAAAACTTTCCATTTTGAATAACTCTTCAGTGGGCCTCTCTACTTGCTAGATAGGGTACTGAGCGATTCGTGAATTAGTTAATAAATCCAGTTAGATCTTCAAATTTACTGGGTTAAAAAAATTTTTAACAGAAGAAATCCTACTCACAGGGCAATAAGAAGAGCAGATATTTCAAAATTAGACGTTTGTCCTGCTGTACAGATGGGTCATTCAGATAAAATTTATCTGACCCTCAATTTAGATGCTTCTATGTAGTTGAGGGAGAGGACAAATTTCTCTTGAGCTTACAGTCTCAATTGCCTTCAGCTCAGAACAGTCTGCAACCCAGAGGCACCCAGCTGACTCAGTCAGTAGGACATGTGACTCTTAATTTCAGGGTTATGTGTTCGAGCCCCACACTGGGGATAGAATTTACTTAAGAAAAATAGATAAAATAAAATGTTTTAAAAAATAGTCTTCAAAAAACAGTCTGCACACCAAAGTGGTCCATCTTGGGATGGGCTGCCCTTGGTCTTACAAGAGTAATATATTGTCTTTAAGAATGCCACGTAGTCTACTTGTGACTGTATTCCTCTGTTCTCTTGTCAGCCGTAGCAATAATGGGTAGGGTGTTGTGGAAGTAGAGTGACCTCCTCTGGGGCTCCTCTATGGCTCTTCAGCACCCCCTTCTCCTCGAACATCATATCCTTTGTGATATCTTCTGGGCCAAACAAAAGCTGGCAAAGATTTAGTGGACAGAACTTCCTTTGGATTTAGAGTGAATATAAGACAATTAGAGCACAAAACAGAAAATATATTGACAAACGCAGATAGTGTTGGATAGAGGGGCAATAAGTGCACAAAGTCATCAGACAGAAAGAGCAATGATGGGGGAAGTGTGAACTTCAGAGAGTGAGAGAAACAGTTGACAGGGATGCTCATCCTTCATCTCCTCTCATATCTTTCTCCAGATGGACTTTTGTCATTTTTCATAATTAGAAAGAAGTTTCTTTTCCTTATCTTTTACCTACAAAAAGCCTACGGTAGAGGATACCACAACATACTCTAGACTGAGACGTAGCAGAGGTCTACTGCTGGTCAAAAGAAGATAGGTTGATGTGTGATAAAAAACTCTTCATAATAGGTTAAAAAACTGTTACATCTTGATAGAAAAATATCGAAGGGTACAGAGGGTCATAATAACAAAATGCAAGAGTTATTTTCTCTCCAGCCACTGGTTCTAATTGCAGACAGTAGGCATATATTATTCTTATAGCAGTGTGTGTGTGTGTGTGTGTGTGTGTGTGTTCTTATTAATCAAGTAGCACTTTATCCTATATAACCACTAAAAAATTGAGGCAAATTACATTCATATGTCATTTGCTTTTTGAACAACATATTGTCTGTATTGTTTTATGTCTTTTCCATCGTTATATAGAGTGATAGGCTATTTTAGTGGTTAAAAATCAGTAGCTAATACTAAGTAATGGCTTAGTATTTTAGTTATGTTATAAAGTGTTCCATTGTATAAAAGACTAATTATTGTATCATTTCATCATCAATAAAATTAGTGCTTTTATAATTTATTTGTTGCTCTTTTGTTTGTTTTCTATATAAGTATTTCTTTATCAATTACAGTTCAACATCGGTCTCTGGGTACCAGTGCCAGTAGAATTTTATTGTTTTGGCATTTTCTCTAATGATATTGAAATTGATTTCACAGTAAACTGTTCACATTATAGAATAGCATCCTGGCTTCTCAGGTCCACTTGAGACTGGTGACTTAGAAGCAATACTTGCTTTCCCTTCCTCACCTTTAACCTCACACTAGTTAACCATATCCATGCACCTCAGGCACAGAGTTTTATCAAGAGACTTTCCTGTTCCTCCCACTTTTTAGCTGTGGTGGGGCTCAGAGCATTAACTAACCTGAGTGCCTGGTAGAATGCAGACTGGGAGATAGATTAATTCAAACGTTGCTCATTTTGTACTGGGCTTTTTCCAGTTCATCTGTTACCTCTGCAAAAGAGAAAGAAAATTCCGTTCTGGACGGTTACAAACTCCCTGGACTCATGGAGACTGTCTATGGTGTAGGATCAGGCGCCCCATCAGGATCAAACACAAAACACTGGATCTTGCAGGGATGTGTAGTAATGGGCAGAGCTGGGTTTGACACGATGTTCACCAAACAGTATTATTATGCTCACCAAACTGAATATTTTAGCTGGACCACTCAACTAGTCTTGTTAACTACAAATAATATGCGTTAAGCTCAGTATTATTAGCTTTCAGTTTACCAAAAGCTGTTGAGGGATCAAGCCACAAAGGAAATTCTTATCTGCAAGACAAGGATGACCACAAGGATGCTGACTATGGGCGTGTATTCCTTTATAGGGCTTGGCCATTGCAACACACACACACACACACACACACACACACACACACACACACCCCTCCTTAGTTTTTGTTACCCCTGAGGGCAAACCTTTGCATAAGAATACATTTGGTGGGATCACAGCAGCTGCATTCTTCCTCACGCAGAACTCATGCAAGAAGCTAGACTGGAGCTTCTCCGTCGTCATTGTAATGGCCTCAAATGAAAACGTTGTCACCGGGGCGGGGGTTGGAAGGCCCTAGAGCGCAGCAGCCCAGCGAGCAACCGAATTCCCTCCTCTGTCGCTGATTGGTCGAAAACTGGGAGGCAAGGACCAGCCTCCAGCGGCTCGACTCTTCATTGGCTGCGAAGAGGTGGCAATCAGGGCGGGCCCAGGCTGCTGCGCCGCTTCCAGCTCTGTGCTGCCGCCGCGGTCCTGTTGCGCTGTCGCTGCTGCAGCCGCCACCCGGGTCCCTTCGGCCGTGCCTCTGCGTGGGGGCTGCCTCTGAGGCTCCGGTCGCAGACACCATGGTGAGTGCTTCCAGCCAGGTCGGGCTGGAACATCACGCCGCGCTGCGCCGGGCCTGGCTGCCCAAGGGAACCGGCCGCGCTACCGGAGCTCTGCGCGGGGGCCGGGGAAGCGCACCACGGGTCGCGGGAGCAGCCTCGCCTTTCTGCCTGTGTCCGGAGCAGGGGGGTTGGGGTGGGTAATGGGAACGCCGGGGGTCGCGACAGGGGCGGGGAGTGCCTTTGCTTCTTCGGGGAGGGTCCGCCACTCTGCATCGCGCTGCGACCCCCCAGCCTCGGGAAGAGGACTTGCGGCTGAGGCGCGAGGGCTTCCCGGCTCAGGCGGACCCCACCAGTGTGAGTGGCTGAGGGCCAGTGGCGGGGAGGTGCCGGGTTCGCGTCCCCTTCGCCACGTTTTCCCGGATGCCCGACCTCTCTCGGAGCGGTGACAGGTGAGCGGAGGGGTAAGAAGGTGGCATGGCGGTGGGGCTGCCGGTGACGGAGAGGATCCGTCCTTTATTGGGGCGGAGGTGGCGCGCCTCTGATGCCCCTCTTTAGCACCGAGTACTCCGAACCGAGCGGAACCAGGGGACAGGGGACAAGGTTAAACCAGAGCGGCGGCAGCGGATGCTGCAGCTCGCCTGCAAGCCCCTGCCCACCTATTGCTGGTCCCTGACGCTCAGGTTTCCCTTGTCCCCGCAGTACGGATTTGTGAATCACGCGCTGGAGCTGCTGGTGATCCGCAATTACGGCCCGGAGGTGTGGGAAGACATCAAGTAAGTGAGAGGCGCCCGCAGCACGGGCTCTGCGCGCGCGCTCGCGGGCGTGGGGGGAGGGCGGGGTGGGGAGCGGGGGACCGCAGGGGTCCCGGGGCGGCCCCGGCGCTGTACCCTGCGCCGCGCTGCATCCTCTGCTTCCTGCCTGGGTCGTGGGCGCGCATCCTCGGGGATGCCTCCGCCCGCCGCTCCCGGCTGCAGCTGCGCTCCCACGCTCCGGAGCTGGGACCCGGAGAGGAGGGACGGCCGGGGCGGGGCTGCGAGGGCCAAAGGCAGGCGCAGGAGCCCCTGGGGTCACCGCGGCCTCCCGACACCGCTCGAGCGTGGGAATGCTCTGCTAGCGCCGGGGCGGTTCCGGAGCTCTGCTGGCTGGGCGACTCCCACGCGGAGTGGGGCCCGGGGGACCGCTAAGGCCTCCGCGACGTTCAAAGAGCCCCGGGCCCTAGAAACAGACGGAAAACCTCGACTCCTTTATGATTGACACACCTCGCAGACCCGTAAAACAAGTTAAGCCTTTTTAGTGTGCAAAAACTCAACTTCTCTTGAGATGATTTCTTGAGCAATTGAATCAAGTGCATTTATTCATTTGAAATAAAGTTAAATTGGAATTTTTTTCTTTCATTTTCTCAAAATTTTGGTGTCAACTATGGTGAAGTCTGCCTTGTAGGAGAGCACCCCAGCGCTGGGAACCCAGTACTTTGGGTGTGGACCGAAATACCACAGACACCTGAGACTTTAAACCTGTTGGAATGATGGGTCAACTCTGCGGGCCTGTTGAGCATTTCGATCTAACAGAATTCTCTCTCCTTTCTTCTTTCTTATTCCGGTGGAATTTGCATTAAACGTGTATGGATGAGCACAATCAACTAGCTACAGCAAATCCATATACCGTATATGGGTTTTCGTACTGGAACACCATTCTGTCACATCGAAATGGAGGTAGAGGGAGTGACTACCTGGGTGGGCAGAAGAGAACACATTGTTATTCTTTACTTTCATTTCCTGACCTCACTGATTTCATTTTGTTTTATCAAGTGATGCCTTCATGCTTCCCCCTCCCGCCCCCCATGTATTCCAATCATTAGCAGTCAATCCTGACAGATCTTTTTGTGCAGTTACATGATAATGATGTCTTTTAAATATCCGTTTCCATGGAAACGGCCAGGGTTAAATATTAAGCACTAGAATGCAACTTTTCCCTTCCTTGGGTTTATATAGTGGAGCATGGTTTCATGTTCCATGAGCCATTTCTGTTACCCACAGGGCTCATTTGCATATTATACAGAGAAGTGGAGATTTGGAAATTATGGCTTAAATCAAATGAGTATTTAGGCACAAAAGCTTACGTTGGGATTTGAATCTGTCTACCTTGTTAATACCTTCATAATTTTTATTTGGCTTGGTAGAATTACAGAGAAGGCAGACTTCAAAAGCAAGATTTTAAACAGTTTAACTTAAGCATCATGTTATTTTTAAGTCACTTTCTTTGTGAATTTATGAAACCATCATGCATATCCCCTGCAGGTTTTCTCCTCCACAATATAGAAATCCCCAGATTTCTGGGTGAGTATGCTATGACAGTATTTTTAAAATTTTGAGAACACAGTAAAAGATAGCTGTAATGGCTAAATAGTCATTATGTATAACCAGATTTAGACTGTATGTCCTACCCATTATCAATTTAAATCACTGCTAAATACAAAGATGAAAAATTACACCTTAAGAGGAATGTGTCAGCAGGTTTCAAAAATTAAATTATCAAGCGATTTGTTTGGACTGGCCATATTTTCCCCAGAGAAGTCAAAATATCTAAAAATATTCAAACTCCACTGGTGTGAGAACTTAACTCTGTCAAAGTAATCTAAGTAGGCTAAGAATATTGTTACATTCTACTTTACGAAACAATGCATTAATTTTTAATTAAACAGCAGTATCTTTTAACTCACTAATTTATCTTTATTTCTGAACAATATTCTTAACCTATTCAAGTGTTAATAACTTAAATTATTCAAAATGCTTTTTTTTCTGGTAACATGAAACAAATCATATGGGTAGGAGAGAGCGAATTATGTACCTCTGCAAGGGGAATAGTATTAGTTAAAGGAGTGTTGTAGTGCAGGTGTTAACTTTGATCCTTTTTTTGTCTGAGCATCCTTTTTGCTGGAACCCATATTGGCTTGGGTACCATTTAGTATCTGGAATAGAGAACATTGTTCAGTTTTCTATGTTGAGAGGGATTAAGGCAGCTCATTGGTTTCCAACCCAGTCAGCACCTCTGAGGGGTTACTGTGAGCTCCCTGGAAGAGCATTCGCTTAGCACCGCAAAGCCATTCTCACTGCCTGGGAGCTAGAGAGGAGACTTCAGAGGAGCTTAACTTTAAAATGCTCCTTGGGAGATTCTGATGCCTCCTCTCAACTTCATCCTCTACTCCAGGGAGGATCACTGCAGTCAATGGTTCAAAATACTTTCTGTTTTAACTTTTTATGAGAAACTAAATCTGAGTGTGTGTGTGTGTGTGTGTAAGTGCTAAATATCTCTATCTTCCTCTTTGGTCTTTTTGAGAAACTATATAAATTGATGTTTATAACAGTTATATATAACACGTTTTTTTTTTGTTTGTTTGTTTGTTTAGTAGGAAATGGCCATCTATCCTTTATGAGAAAGGATGCCAAACATTTAATGACAAATAAAACCCTAAGTAACAGATTCCAGACAGAAAATGTTAAGTGGTAGGAGCCAAAAATGCTTCATTGTAAACTCTGTATCCACTTAACAATCATATAACCATTTCATACAAGCTTTAAATTCCTCTTTTTAAGAAAAAAAATTATCAAGACTAAGGGTCAGCAAACATTCTCTTAAAGGGCCAGATAATTCAGGTGTGGTAGGCCAAGAGTCAGTACTGACGATATTATATAGGTAGCCATACACCTGCTAAAATGTAACTGTCTAAAACGTAAACACTATTCCTTGCTCTCAGACCAGACAAAGCAAGGGGCTGTGGGCTGGATTTAACCCATTGGCTGTAGTTTGCTAACCTCTGATCTAGGCCATCAATAAATATGAAAAAGCAAAAAAGACCTTTGAATCTACTTCAAATCTTCTATTGTTGGTTTCTTTTCAACTTTTAGATGGCCTTTTCTAGAAGCCATGGTTCCAAAGTGATGAAAAAAAAATAATCATGATTTCAGAGAAAACAAAGTCAGGAGATACATAATAGAAGAGCACCTAAGTGCTCTTAAATAATTGCATTAAATTAATGAGTGCAAATTTAGATTGGTTTAACTTCACTGAGGCATAAGGATGGATTGCAAACACTGAAGAAATTTAAGATGATGGAAAGTTCATTAAAAAACAAACTAAAAATACCTACCTAAAAACTAATTACTTTGCCTAGAGTTGAACAGGCCAAGGAATGAATTAACAATAGATTTGAAACTCCAAAGTGTATATGGTCCATGGCTTAGCCCTTCTGTGTTTTGCTAAAACGTATGAGATAAATATTTGGGTCAACATTTTGGTATGAGATTTGAAAATCATGTAATAGCACTGTTAGTTGATACATGTTGGAGCAAATTCTTCTAGAAGGCTGTTGACCCTTTTTCTTGAATAAAGAATTTATATATGTTTTGTATGGTTTTATTTGATATACCTACAGTAGGGCAGCTTACTTTTTAATTCATTGATTTATTCCTTTTTTCATTGTCTAGTTAAGCTTATTTTTAATGAACATAGTCCTTCAGGCACTGAGGGTAGAAAAGTAAGCTAAACTCCTTTGCTTCAAATCAAATCTTACCATAGTACTCTTATTAGGGTATCAGGATATTTTCTGTCTGTAACTCAAACATAAAAACATTCTGATCTTCCAGTTTTGAAATTAATGTATCTAGTTGAATTTGCTGGTCACAAATTAGTCGTTATGGTTCATATTAGCCAGTGCTTTGTGATAAGCTAGTTCTGTGACTTTTCCAAGTTGTCTAAACTTTCCAAGCCTTCCTGTGTCAGAAAACATTGTACCTACTGTAATAGAGTTGTTGTTATAATATGCTGAAAAATGTCTGAAAATGTTTAACACAGTTTTTGGAAAGTAACTGCTTAATAAAAAATGGTAGCTATTATTAATTTTATTCTAGAACCAGAATTTTTCGACTTTTCTCTTCCTTAGCTCACCTGAAAGATAATGAAGTTCTCTTTTGAGTAACAGTAGGTCATTGAAGTCTACAGAGACTAGATGTTCCGTCATCGGTGGAGGATAACTAGTCACTTCATTGTCATTGTCACTTGTTTTTCTCTTTGGTCCATTGTATGCAACTGGGACCAGTTCTTTGAACTTGAAGTGCCTCTTAGGCTCTCTTCTTCTTTCATTCTGGTTCTTAGCACTTTCTTTGTGCTGCTCTTGCAACATTCAAGTATATGACCCAATGTAATTAGTTATAATCAACTTGTTAACCTTACAACTGACTGTCTTACCCTTTGCACAGTAGCTCCCCATTTCCCTCACCCTCACCCCCTGTGAACCACCCCTCTACTCTGTTTCTATGAGTTTGCCCTTTGTAGATCCACATATAAGTGAGCTCAGTGTTGTTGGATGTTTGTTTTTAATGATAAAGCTGAGTTTCCAGAGGTTACGTTACTGTCCTAGGGGATTATATGTAGGAAGCTAAATGGTCAGGACTCCAATCCTGCGTTTCTGGTGTCACTTTACTGCTTCTCTTAAGATAGAAATAAGAGCTAATATAATATACCTATAAAAATGAAACCATACTAATTGCCATACCTAGAAACTTCTTCAGGACAAATAAACAAATTAATACGTAGATAAAAATAGGTAAATTAGATCATTGTTAGGACCGAGACTTTCTTCTGTAAGAAGACCTGCCAGTTAGCTGGAAAGACAGAGGTAGGCACGTACATGAGCCGATAAGCTCACTAGCATTTGAAGTTCTTCTTGCAGGAGGAAGTAGATGTCCATGTGTGAACCTCTTCACATAACTGCCAT